CTCGTCGCTTTCTGTAAAGTCCATTCGCAAAGTCTAGTTTGGTATCTTGTTAGAAATTCTTGTATAGGATCGAAATTAATCTCGAGTTTTCTCGTCTTGTACTGGAAGTAATAATTTTATCAACAAATCAAGTTACGAAATTAATTTAGTAGTATACTTTAATATACAATTTTCGTCGCTTTTTTTGTTTTATTAAATGTTCTTCCACTAGTAATAATAATGTTAGTAATAGTACTATATCTTAATAACAATACGAATTTAATATTATATAATTAATGTATGGATATACATATAATGATTATTTTTTTAAATCCAAATTGTTAAGTAAATAAATTTAAGCTTTATGCAAATAATTTGCTTATTTTTCGATGATTGCTCTAACAAAAAAATATGATTACGAATGTATATAGTTAATTTTTTAAATGTTATTTTGAAATTATTTTTAGGTATTGGAGACATCCCACCGTTCCAGAATATTGTTAATTATTAATTTATATGTATATTATAAACTTTTCTATGATAAAATACATGCAGATATATTACGAGATTATATTTAACAAGTTTTGATTTTTGTCGATTTAGATAATTTTTTTATCAAAATACCTTATGTTCTTTTATTAATGATATCGTGATTACATGAATTTAATTAAAAATGTGTGGATACAAAAAATTCGAAATAAGTCGAATGGATACCTTTATATTAGCGAGGTATTAATAATTAAAATTTTGGGAAAATGCAGAAAAAAAAATTGTTAAATTATATATAATAACAAATTTTTCAGAAAGCATACTTAGTTCTTTAAAATCTCGTTATTATCAAGTTCGATTTATCTCAAACAGTTGGTACCCGAGATACTTTTGTATTCATACATATAAAAAATTACAATAATGCATGTATTTTATTACTATTAAATATATTCCTTCGTAATCACCATTCCATAAGGAAATCATTTTATCTTTTTATTTTTAATAAGAGATGATTTATAGTAATGTGTGGTAGAACATATAATTTCCTCGCAAATTTTGATATTATATTAAAAATGCAATAAAAATGTAATTAAGATGCTACCAAAATTATTTCTATCATAAGTGGTCTGAAAGATTTGGAATTCACATCCTTCTGTAATAAGACCGCTGGTGTTTGACGGATTGCTTAACTTTTTTTTGCGAATGGATCTTATGAATTTGACGTGGAATCAGAATACATCAAGTTCGCTTTTCTACGAAGATTTTTTTCTTCTTTGTATCGGATACTAACCTTATCACAACGTGGAGGGACTTTGATGTGATCAAATTATCGGGATAATTATCTTAAATGCGATGAAAGTCTTGTCGTAAATGTATTAATGACTTTTTATCACGATATTAATAAGTTTTATAATATAATCGCAAGTTAATAATTAATAGTAAGTACGATTTGTCCAAAAACATATGCACTACATTACTGAAAATTGTACTAGTAGATATAACTTCGGCATTGAAAATAATGCTTTATATTTCATAAACGAATTGTATTCCTATGTATATGTTGAAGAGTTTAATTTTGTACGCGTGTGTGAGATAAGAAATAAAACGTACGACTATCGTTAGGATAGGATAAAATAATTAACTATGCTATTTAATGCTTTTCTTAATTAAAATAGTTATAGTGTATATATACACACTCAGTACGTATACTTTAGGGGAGGCGCAAGTAATTAAACAATCTTTATTCCGAACACATTTTATGCAGGCTTTTGTCGATATGCATGCACAAAATATGAGAAATTTAACGTTTCGACAAACTTCGCACTGTACCAATACACAATAAATGTTATTAATGATCGGTTATCTCAACGGTTTTTTTACACAACAAAATAAAAAAGATTAATGTCGGCGAAACAATTCGAAACAATCTTTTGCGCAAGAATTTCTTAATGTTTGTAATATAGATACATCGACACTCAATGCTGCGGATTAAGCATCGTAAAATATATATAAACAATTAACCTAGAATACTGAACTACAAATGATATTGTTAATAACGGCCGACAAGCCGTCAAATCTCGATTGAACATATATGTATTTAAGTGAACAATATCGATCGATGTTTCTTTTTTTATCTCTCAAAATCGGTATTCAATACTTATATCGCTTTCCTTTTCGCATCTCTTTGCGCGAGTACGCTTAATCGAAGACCGATTTTGATGATGACTGGCCACTAATAAACAATAATACAAACAAGAAATTTCTCCTATCGATCAGTGATGTAAAAGGTACTTTTATTTTCGGTATCTAGCTATAGATACTTTAAAAGTACATTTAATTTCAGTTAATTAATAGCTTCAGCCTAATATAATTCTGTTTGGTTATATTGTATCATTGAATATTGTATCATTGAAGCTGATTTGAAATATAAAAAAAATGTATTTTTTAAAATTTAGAATTAAGTACTCAAAAATAATGAACTCCTTTTAGGAATATATTTGTTCCATTGCAAAAAATATATTCAGATATATAAGTATACAAGTATTTAAAAAATATACCTGTACCTGAAATTACAGAGGTAGGGAAATATTTACTCTGGCAAAATGTTAGCAATTTAGGCAGCAAACTCGATCAGATATTGACTACAAAACCATAGCCATCTGTGTCCGCATTTGGCTGTGTTTGGATTTGTCGACCAAGAGCTAAACTAGTAGATTGGTAGCAGAAATCGAGTAGAGTTTGCTCGAATTAGGTTCTGCTCTCAATCTGCTGTCAGGATATGCAGGACTTTGTTTAATTTCTGCTACTAATCTGCTAGCAAAGCATGTCTAGCAGGCTTTGTCATATTTCTGACAGTAATTTGCTGACAATGTTAGATAATACACATTCTGGGTACAATTTATTGCCTTTTTGCAATAAAAAATTGGTAGCAGGCCGTGCTTAAAATTTGTTTCCGCAGGCTTTGCTGGATATACACTCTTTAATTTTACATCACTGACATCGAGGTTCAAGACTTTGCGATACATAACGAGTCGAGATTGTTTTAATTTCTCGCGATTTTCGTGGATTCTTTGTTGCTTGTGACATGCTCGAGGTCGACTCCGTCATATTCCAGGCCGCCCGTGCTATCGTAATACGCATAATCATAATCGTTCTTTTTGCCCGATTTTGGTCGTGCTGTCGTACTGCTGGCGCTGTTGCTACTACTGCTATTAGGTAATCTAGTTGTCGACGTGAACGGTCTCGCGGATCCGCTAACGTAGGTAACTCCACGTGGAGTCGTTGTCGGCTGAACGGTCTTCTGAGCGTTAGAATTGAAGTTGTTTGGGTTATAAGTGGTAGCGCTAGAAGGCCGTCTGCAACAAGAAAAAGAACGCTGCAATTAATCTTCTTCTCCTACAATATGTTCTAGAAGTAGAATTATTTTACGAAAATGGAAAGAGATGATCAAGAATTTAGGAAATATTTGGATGAAAAATAAATCTTAAAATTCCTGTCTATATACTTCGTGTATTCTTGATTAAATTTTTTTTAAATAATATTCGATTTTAAATTAGTAACATTTTAATATATATATATTTGTACACAGAAAAATATTCTGATTAAATCAATAAAAGGGCTCACTAATGGCATTTTGATAAAATCGAATAGAATTTCTGGTTATATATCATAATCAGAAATTTATCCCCAAAATATAATATCATTTTTGTTAAGTTTTGTTGGTTTAATCAGAATATTTTTTTCATCGTATAAATACTAAAAGATTACTAATTCGGATTCAAAAAAACCTTAGGTTGTCTGATCTTATGAACGAAGTTTACAGTGTCATTCTTATTGATTCCTTTTATTAGTTTAATTAAACTTTTTTTTCACTATAAACTTCGTTTATAATTTTTACAATTGAATGCGAATTTAAGGATGTTACCTCCTTTGCGCAAAAAGTTTTGAGTAAATCTAACTTTGAGTTTACCTTGGTACCGGCGTGGTGCTTTTCGGCGACTCGGCGAGATGATTGATACTTGCGGGACTGAAACCAATTCCCGCGGAAGATCTCGCGAGGTTGAAGCTACCAGTGCTTGTTTCGATATAGTATGACTTGCCGCTGCTCGCGTTGTCATAATTATTATTATATTGAGTTGCCTTCTTAGGCGTTTTCGTGCTATCATAATATTGAGTGGAAGATCTCGCTTGGCTCGTTTTATCATAATATTGGCTGTTATCGTTGTTCCTCAAAGCGGTCTGTGCGACAGTATTGTCCACGTTTATATATTTTTTCGTTGCTGGGCTGTAAGTTGTGGGTGCATAACTGTTGCTTGCGAAATTGTTGGCGTAATATTTGGCAGTAGTTTGAGGAATGTCCTGACTAGTGGACGTGCCTGATCTGTACTGGACATTATTATTATTGTTGTTATTGTTGTAATTATGATTATAAGCGGTAGGTGCGGACGTGGTGGATTGGTACGCAACTGATGCGCTGCTTCCTCGTTGAATGTTGTTGTAGTTCCTTTGTTGGTAATTGGTGTAATCGCTTGTCTGATAATTTATAGTACTCGGTTGAACAGTGGTGGACTGTGCGAATTGATAAGTCTGATAGCTGGTTTTCGGATTGTAGCTGCTCGGTTTCAGAGTTGTAGCTTGAACGGAACTGCCAGTATTCTGTTGAATGGCACTACCAGTATTCTGTTGATAGTTTGAGTTGTAGACGTTTGAGTTATAGAAGTTTGTGTTGTAGGCGTTGTTCGAAGTTGTTCTGGCAGTCGTGCTGGGTGATTGATAGTTGTTATATGTATCCTGGTATGTCGTGCTAGGTCGATACGTGGACGACGGTACGCTATATCTTTGCGTGTTCTGATTTTTGTTGTAATTCTCTTGAGATCGGACGGTCGTTGACGGGGCGTATGTCGTAGATCGTTGATTATACGCATTGCTGTTGTAATAATTGCCGTTGTAGGTGTTCTGACTAGGCACGGCTGGTGCCGACGTGCTGGACGTTGGCGAATAGTTGCTACTACCATTGCCGGTATACGGTTGCTTCCTACTGGCCTTTCGAATGCCACCTTTCTTCTTGTTGTCTTGTTCCTCCTTATACAATTTATCTTCATATTCGTCTTCTTTGTTGTTTCTGTTATACAAATTGCCGCTACTACTACCTCGCAATACCTCGCGATTATTATAGTTGGACGAAGATACTCGATTCACAGCATTCGCGGAGGATCGAACTGCATCGCTGCTTTCGCTGCGTTGAAGATGATCTTGAGGCTCGGCGTCACTACGTATGTTGTCGTAATGTACGGATTCCAAACCGGAACCAATTCTATACAAGTCAAAGTTATCGCTGGCATAGTAGAGAGTCGCGGCCTCGCAATCCACGTCGTACCAATCGGCACAAGTTTGACTCTCTTGATCGAAGGCAGTATCGTTAGGACAAAGGAACCTAAGTAAAAAATAATTAAATAATTCAGCGATTGGCTCTAAACCTCGTAACTTTCAACGTTCCAAAATGTATTTTCCTTAGTGTATACTGTACATATTAACTTATTGCTGATGATAAAAAATTGAGAAGAATTTATTTTTACTTATCAAGATTGTAATGTAACACTCACTTGTAATCCTGAATAGTACCAGCCACAGAGACACAGACATGGAAGACTTGGCAGTCGGTCTCAGGGTCCGCGTAATAGCTACCGACAATCTTGTTGCGACAGGAGAACGAGGTTTCCGGCATGTATTGCTGAGAATATCTCGGTGGTGGTCGTTGGAGACCTAGTACGCAACTCCATAATATTCCCACTGAAATTCATAGCATATTTCTAAATTTTATGATACTAATATTCTCTATGGTACTAATATTCTCTATAATCAATAGTAAGATATATCTAAAATTATCAAATATTTATCAAATAAAAAAAATTGCATTGTAATTTATAAAAAAAAAGCAACAAGAACGGATTATAATTCGTTCGAATATCCATTTTTATTTATTATTATTTTATTACGTGTATTTTTTACTAATATAATCGAACGTATATATATATTGTGTATTATATACACAAATTAGAATGGACAAATACATTATCGGAATGTATTCTCGTATTGATATGCAATCTGCAGTCTGCAGTTTTTCTATTTTATTCTAAAAATAAATTTCTTATGAAATCTATATTATAAGAATATTTCTTTATTGTTATATAATTCTTCAAATTCTCGATCTCATCGATTCGTTGATTGGTATTCGTATTAAAGGTTGCAATTGTACGATTGTTTAAAGATTTGAACAGCAAAGCGCGTCTTTTTACAAGTGAAGATAAATAATGGATGTCGATACATCTTCCTACTTAAAAGTATCCACATAAAAGAGTGTGGATATTTATATACTCGTACTGCGTGAACGAAAATTGTTTCGATTGAAATTATTGATTTATGAAATTTCAAATAAAAAATTATTTAAATTATCATTGAATAAATCCTTCGAGGTATGCCAAATTTTTAAATAGTTGGTTTTAAAATTAATTACTTTAATTTCACATATTTCAATAGATTTTATTTAATAGTAATTTAAATAATTTTTTTCTGATTCAAATTTTGTTCATAGAAACCAGTAATAATTAAAAATCTTTAATGAATTTGCAATTTATCATATTTTGATATTTATTTAAATAGATAGATACCAGATGTAGTAAATCGCAAGTTCATCAGAGACCAATTCGACTATGACGATTCTTATAGTCCACTTTCAGCGATTAAATTCCACTCTGTTATATTACACGTACCCGAAATTAGAACGAGATATCGCCTCATGGACTCCATATTTTTCGTCGAGTCCTCTGGATACCCTCCTCTCCGGATTCACTCAGCTTTTCGGACTTGGTTCGCACTCCTACGCGTTACCTGCGCGATCAGACTCGCGGACGCGACTGCAGCAGCGGAGAACGTTTGTACCCGAGAAGAGAAGAGCGCGCTCGGAGAAGATGCCTTCTGGGAGGATGGGGCTCGGGTAAAGCTACGGGATGACGGGGAAGGGGTCCAGGCCCCATCGCGTACGCGAAGAAGAGAATGGTGAACAGAGTCCGCTGCGGAACGTAACGTCTTTCTCGTTACGTCACTTACGGCAACCGGGCTCGTTCGCCAAGCAGCCAGCGGCGACGATGGCACGTATTATACGTGGGTATGCAGTATGCACATACCGTGCGCGGACTCCCGTGTAACTTACACGTTTTTACTACCACGTAGGTAGGCGGCTGAATGCCGGAGAAACCGCTGCACGCCGCGCGGGAAAGCGGGAGACATTATCATCTCTTGAAGAGACTTCTCCCGCGCGCGATGCATAATAACGCGTAGGTGCCCGTTATTGTGTCGCCTGTTCACGCACGGAAGAAGTTTCCCGACGGAAAGCTTCTGTAGCTTGAGATTCTGTTCCCTTTTAGAAAATCAAGTCAAGGATAGGCATAGAAGGCGGATCGGCAAACATTGCGCGGTAGTCATTAAATTCAACGTTTCATGTCGATTCTTATTTGTGATTACTTGGAAATATCATTTGAAGATATACAGTAGCTTAGAGATAAGCGTTTTAATGACATCGAATCTTTAACTTATTCCACTGTTCTGTCGTAACTGTTTTCGTAGATGATGAGTTTCGTATCAGTCTATAGATGGAAGAAAGTTGCGTTTTGCATTGAATCGTGTGTGGAGGGTGTGGCGATAGACAACATCGCGTGTGCCTTCAATAGAGATAAAAGAAAGAAGCCGATGCCCGTCAGCGTCAATTATTCTAATAGAACTTCAAAGTAGTTATATTTTGTGTGAAAGGATATTCGCGATTGCGCCACTGTATAGATAGTTCCTATCTATCACACATTTATTCATACGATTTCTGTTTTTAGAACTTAAGTCTCGTTAAACGATCTATTCTATATTTCAACATATATTTAATACATGAGCGTATAATCTGATTTTTTAATTTTATTTGTTACTTTTTACATTACACTGTTAAATTTATAGTGTCAAATTTAACCTAATTTCGTCACTAATCCACAAATTAGTTAAATTTAATACTAACAAAGGGAACATCAGATGATGATGTCGGGGGCGTTTTTTACAGTTCTTGAACAAAAAACTCGCCATTTCAGCTATTGGTCCATAGTTTCGAAGAAATCAATTTTTTAAATAATTATTGTAATAATTTGAAAAACATACAACACTGTAAGGGAAACCGGGGATAAAAGTAACATTTAGACTTTGAAATGTTCCAACAGTTAAAATATAATATTTACATTAAAAAGATATGTATCTTTAGATGTAGAATTTATTTAGCTATGTAGAATTTATTTAGCTACAAAATTTTTTTCTTTAATTTTTTTATGTAACTAGAAAAAAAGTTATGTTTGTTTAAAGATTATTTTGTTATTTTGAGAAATTTAGTTACAACCATCCCAATCCCCAGGGACAATAGTAAGATTATAACAGTAGAAGGGAATAATTGTACCACATTTGCTAGAGGTGCATAACACAACTACATAAGTCACACTCTCTCTTGCAGCTGCACGAATGGATAACTGGTTCTTCATAACTTCTTTAAATGTCTATTTGTATAAAGATACTTTTTTATGTAGTTTTTCTTTTATCTTTTGAGTTTTCTTGTTAATGAGATTCTATGAAGAAAAATACAAATAACATTGTACAAAATAATACTAAAATAAAATCAAGTAAGTTTGGGGATAATTGTAATGTTACAACTGACTCCAGATATTGATATTATTATCCTCTAATAATATTTTGATTTATAATAAATTTTTAAAATAAAAACATAGATAAAAATCAACCCAAATGTGCAAACAACGCATAATCATTAAAACATATTATGATAATATAATACATTAGATCTTCATTATAAAGAAAAAAAAATTTTTAGATTTTGTGCACGCAATAAAACTTACTTGCATGAAAAAAATAATTTCTGCTCCTGCACTTGTGCACGTTCCGCGAGAACTAGCATGTAACGAATTCAATGCCGATCTGTCCACAAAATTTTACCATGCAGCCGCATACACATATTTATTATAGTTTAAGAATTATTAACGATGTTACTATTATCCCTTGTTCCACTTCCGTCCTCGGTCTCTCCTATAGAATAAAATATCAGTTTCTTCATAAATTTCATTTTAATTTAATGTTATTAATTTTAATTACTTTTTGATTGTAAAGAAATTTCATGAAATTACAAATTAATATTATAGATAATTAAACATTTATTTATGAATAAATATTTATTATTATCATCATTATCATCGTTGTTGTTATTCACATGAACGCATAAATAAGATGTAATAAAAACAGCTATAGTTTCTGATAAAATTAGAAATTGGAAATTGTGATTAGGAATAAGTAAGTCATATGTGTTTGTAATCTTCTTTTCATTAATATTAATCGATTTGTTAATAATAATAGAAAACTAATTGTGTTTTGTAAACATACGTATATAAATCATAAAAACAAGAAAAATATAAATATTTATTGCATTGTGAACACCTTTCGAATGAATTTTTGTTGCAGTTACAATAAATCTTAATAAAATTAATATTAATTCTCAATAAATAAAACTTTTTCTACTATCTGAAGGAAAGCAGATTTGATTAACATAGAAATACTTCTTTCAGGAATCAATTTTGATGAGAACCAAGCATATTTTATCATTGGTGCGAAAACTGGAGATGACAATTGATGATGAATTATCGAATGGTTTTTAATGGCATCGATAGTTGTCTCGCGTCGACAGTTCTTTGCACAAATGTTATTATAAAGATTTATAAAGATACTGTTATTTTCCTCTATACAGTACATTTGTCAAATTATTACAATAATTTTAAAAATCGATTTCTTCGAAACTATGTGCCAATGCGCAATGGCTGAAACGACCGAATATCATTTTTTTTTTCGCTCAAGAACAACTTATCAAAAACGTATCAAAATCCCCGATAACGTCACCTGGTTCTCGTTGTAAATGTAGATTTAACAATGTACGTGGCACAAAATTACGGCAAGAATTTTATTCTAAATTATAAATCGTATAAAAAGGCTTTCAAGAATCTTAAAGTTAACACTTTCCTATTTTCAGAAAAGTAAATTAAATTATCGTTAAGTTGCGCTTTTTAATTTTTTTAATATTGATCTGTGGAAAATTAGTTTTTAATTGTCATATTTTACACCATCCATGAAAAAATGTTTAATAAAACTAAATGATCATTCAGCAAAAATTAATGCTTAGTAAGCGCTTTACATCGATTGGATTATACTTGTACAATAGATCGAGAGGAATAGTCTTATCTCAGCGAAGAAAATTTTTAACAGTTATGAAAATAAACATTCTGCTAAACGCAACTATTGATTAATTTAATTTTATAATAGAAGATTTTTTTTAATTCTTCTTTTATTTTCTTACAGGTTTCATACATAAAAATATAAATATTTTGCTTCGGCATCGTTCGTGTTTCTTCTTTTCGTGCTTCTAAATTAATCTTCGATAGGAACGCTCTTTGAATGTCTCGTCTGTTAGCGTAAGTTCGGCGTGACCGGTCGTTAGGTGGCCTTTGCCAGCGCGAGATCGCGACTCATTGCATTCGAGGGTACATCGAAGGAGTGCTCGGTTGCATTCCAACAATAATCCGAGGAATTACGGTGGACGGAACAGCGAGCATCTTGTTTAGAACGTTTAAATCGCCATATCCATGAACGGCCTCGCAGATTGTTCTGCTGTTCGAGACTATGTACATTCTAGGAATGTTAGATATTTGAAATAGCTGAGCGAAATTTGCCGAATAATTGCGCGAAAATTGCACAGACTTAGAGAATTCTTCAGTGGCATTTAGATACTTTCGTCGAAACGTAGGACTTCTAGTATCTCGGAAAAAGTCTTCAAAGTTAAACTTTCTCATCACAGGTTTCTCTGATATTAGAGGCACATAATCCCAGACAGTTAGTAACTAATTAGAACGAATTGACTCAGGTATGGGTAGAAATCGTTTGCGATCAGAGAGAAGGTTTCGTTGCAAAGTGGAATTGTAGCACTCGATTCTTCGATGAGATAAGGTCACTTCCGTAGGTTGAAGCTAAGGTAGATACGCGGCGTAGAACATGCAAAGGAGTTATCTACGAGCAAAAGAATCACGTGGCCCAATTCACTTGCCGCCGTCGCACGAAGATCGAGGTCGTACCTCGACAATTGAAATTTCGCAATTTAGCCTGTCTTGCATCTCGCAGCGCACTGCCAGTGTAATACGTTGTGTGAGTACGTATATGTATGAGACGAAAAAAAATTCACGATAGCTTCAGAATTTAAATCTAAAGAACATCGTGCAAAATTACCTTCGATCTCGCTGCATTTGCATCTCGTGATGTCTATTTTTCGAACATTGATTTTAATATATCCAATTTGGCGATTTCTTTCGATAAACAAAATTTGTAACGATGATATTTCAATTTTTTTAGTCGTTGCCCTGCTAAGAAAATTTTTCTTAGAATTTTTTATATAATTTTTCAGAATTTCTGTATAACCTTTATAACCTTTTAGAAAATTTCTCAGATTTTTTATATGAATTAGAACATTTTTTAGAAGTATTGCATAAGAAAATCTAAATCTTTTAGAATTCTTCGTATACGTGAATTCTGAAATGTTTTAAGATTTCTCATTCTATAATTTCTGAAGAAAACTTATAAATTCTGAAAAAATTTAGGGTACTTTTTCAAAATTTTCATAAATTTAAAATATTCAAAAAGACAATAGGCTCATATAATTTATAAGATTAATAATAAAACAAGAGCTACCAAGTCAGATCTTAATGCAGGATTAACTACAAAAACATAAGTTTATTAAAATAAACGTTTTGACCCCTATTGGATCATTCTCACTCAATGTTGAAATTGATAGCACG